CCGTTAGTCACCTCGGGCTGCCCCGTGTTCGGGGAAGGGCCAGCCAACAGTGCCTCATGGCCCATGGGCTGAGTGAGCACTGGTTGGTCCGATAGCCCATGCATACCCGACCCGGCAACCAGTGGTACTTGGTACTGTGTTGGGAGGGCATGGGTGACTAGTGCCCACTGAAGCGTGGTGGTTAGTTCATTCAGGCTGCCCCGTGTTAGGGAAGGGCTGGGCGGTATAGCGGTGCTCGTACTTGGGCCACGCCTGCCCTGTCGGCCCATTTAGGCCTTAGCGGGAAATACCTGCTGGTCTAAGGAATATGCATCAGTAGATTGCTCTACAGGTAAGTTGAGTGTAGTAGACCAGTAATTAATCAACCTTCTCACGGTGATGCCGTTCTGGACTTAATCAAAACCCATCTTAAGAACCATTATGACTCTCCTGTTTTGAGTTCACCAATTGGTAGAAGCGATCACAATACCCTTTATTGGTCACCTTCAGTGTATAGAAAGCAGGGTAACATCCAGAAAAGAATTGTCCGCCCCTTTTGTAAACCTAGGCTTTATGAATTTGGGAGATGGATTACCAACCATTCTTGGGATGAGGTTCTGAATGCATCATGTACCACTGATAAGGCTGATGCATTTTATGCTACGGTCACAGGAGCTGTTGACTTGTATTTCCTTACAAGGTGACTAAGATCCATTAAGAAAATGTCAGGCTGCATTTGCTAAATAGAAATTGGTGCTGTGGCGGCTCTTGCGTAACAAGTCTATTCGTATAATACACCAGGCTAAGAAATCGTATTACAGAGATCGCCTTCAGAACCTCAAATCAAGTGATTTGTCAGGTTGGCATAAGGGTATTCAGTTGATAACTAATAGGAGCCAACATTGTCCAATTATTTCGGTGCCACACATCCAACAAAATTATATTTCTGCAACTGCAGAGGCTATCAATGTAAACTTTGTCTCTGTCTCTGCAAGCTGACCCCCAATCAACCTCATTGAACTGCCTGCTTTTTTACCTGCTCACCTGCCCCCATAAATCAAGGCATGGGAGATGTACAAAGCTTTGAGAAAGCTCAATGTGAAAAAGGCAGCTGGTCCTGATGGGCTCCCAGGAAGGTAGATTAAGGAGTTTGCTTGTGAGGTCAGTCAACCTGTAACTTATATGTTTAACTCATCTCTTGCTGAAGGTGTGGTTCCTCAAGTAAGGAAGGATGCTAACATAACCCCAATACCAAAAGAAACTCCTGCAACAGTTTCCAAACTTAGACCAATCTCATTGACATCTCTTTTGGCAAACATTTGTGAAGGATTTGTCTCAAAATGGGCACTTGACGACACTTATTGCTCTATTGATCATAACCAATATGGCAGTATTAAGGGATCTTCAACTTCCCACTGCCTTGTTCAAATTTTAGATGTTTTGTTCAAAGGGGAACACTATAGGTACCTTAGTAACGACGGACTTCTCTAGGGCGTCTGATTGTGTCGACCATACTCTAGCTATTCAAAGACTCTTTGAGCTTGGTTTCAGAAATGAAATCTTACCTTGGATAGCTCATTTTCTTACTGATCGACGTCAGCGAGTAAAATACCACTCAGCTTTGTCTGATTGGAAAACCCCCTCATGTGGCGTGCCTCAGGGCACCAAATTTGGTCCCATCATTTTTTGGCTGTTATCAATATTGCTTCTGAGGGGTCTTTGACCAAAGCTTTAAATATGTCGATGATCTGACCCTTGCAGAGGTCTGTCCTGCTAAAGAATCTAGCCAGATTGGATTTGATTACAATCAATCCTACCAAATGCCCGACGTTGATCAGCCTTCTTCCGTCGGGCTGGGGCACCCCCGGGCGACCGGCTCCGTGTCACTCATAACATACCCGGCCGACAGCACTTCAGGCCTGTTGGGCTGAGTGAGCGCTGGTCGGTCCGATAGCCCGTGCAATAGCCCGTCCTGGCAACCAGTGGTACTCGGCACTGTGTCTGGAGGGCACGGTGACAAGAGCCCACTGAAGCATGGCAGTTAATAGTCCCCTCGGGCAGCCCTGTGCTCGGGGAAGGGCCGGGCGGTAAAGCGACGCTCATTCCTGAGCCACGCCTGCCCTGTCGGTCCTTTTTCGGCTTTGCTCCGGCACAGAAGGTATGTTTTGGAAGAACCTTGCCGGAGCGCGCCTTTTGTTTGGGTGTTCCGCTTGAAGCAGAGGATACCAAGGTCCCTTTAACTGGTCAGCAAAACTGCCTACGCCCCCAACCGGCAGTGGCTGAGGGTGCTGGACGAGGGACTGTTACCACGGTAACGACGCAGCGTTAACAGCAGAGTCCCCCGAGAACTCGGTCCGTTCCGTGAGAGAGGAATTCCCCCTGGTTTGTGACAGATCGGTTCTCCCCAAATGCTTCATATAACAAACCAAGAAGACGATGAGAAACTCTACAAACTGTTATTAACTAATCAATAAACTTCTCTAAAGCGAAAAAAAGCGTAGTAAAAAGACGAGGAAAACTGGAGCTATTTTACACACGTCCTACCCGACCTGCTGCTAAGAGAAAAGAGGATGCTCACGAAGCATGCAAGCCACGGGGCATTATGGGTAGGACACCAGAGGGTGCTATTGTATAAAACTCTTAGGGGAAAATACCTGCCGGTATAGGGAATATGCATAAGTAGATTGCTCTACAGGTAAGTTGAGTGAAGTAGACCGAGGATTTTCTTTTGTTCCTCTTCCCTTTTCCTTGTTTATACTCTTTTTTTGCAACAGCTCTCATTGGATCTGTACACGTTTTCTAGTCGACGTCGTCCTCGATTGATTTCCTGTCCTCGATTCACCAATGATGTTGCACGTATGTGTCTTTTATTTACACCATAAACAAACGCACCACAAGGGTTTGAGTGACCACTGATACAAATAGCTGAAAACAGCTGAAAAAGGTGTAAAAAAGCTGAACATTGGAAATCTCCTATACTTTTGTACACAGCAACTGAGGGAAAAAAGCTGAAATTCACAACTGGCACCCGTAAAGCGTAGTGATACCTAACAAATCCCCCTGGTGTTGATGTAGCCTTCCCATTCGAAATTCCTTGATACGTTGCTTCAAGAATCTTCAAATCAACCCAATGACAAGAGAGATCTTCAACTCATCGTCCACCCTGGTGTCCCTTCAAGAAGGATCAATTCATTGGCGATCCCCCCAACAGACACTGCTAATGAGTTTGGCACTACCCCTTGTCGTCGATCACGCTGCAACACTTGCCACGATGTTTATGCTTCAACTGGCATCAACGGACCACGTGGCTGGCAACACATCCATCCACCTACCATTGGTTTTTCCACTGGGGAAAAACCAATCAGGGAGATTTTTGGGAGGAAAGGGGAATGAATGTGCGAGCGCAAAGTGCGAAGCCGTTACGACGTGGGGTCCGGAGCCCGCTTAAGGGCCTGAAAAATTTTGCATTCTAAATGCTCTGTGGTGCAATCTGAGGCATTTCCTGGCCACATTCCTCTGAATGTATGGGGTTGTAGCTGTCTAGATTATGAGTAAAAACTAGTGGTTCTTCCTAGAATTCCTTTTCACCCGTGGAGGAGTTTTTTCATGGTAAATTTTTTGCAGCTATCTTTGAATCGGGAAATATTTTCAGAAATAGGTGGCCAACCTGGTCAGATGATGCTATCGGTAAGTTATGCTCCACTGAAAACCCAGTGAAGTATTTCTCTGCTCTAATAACACTTTCATCATCATCCACTGACCTGAAATACTCACCAATGCCTCTCGTGGCAGATCACGCTTTTGCGATGTCTCCGGGTGTCACAAGACATCGTTGTGACTACCACTCTTCACTGATATATCGCTACTGCATACAATGCAAAATGCAAACAATGCAAAATGCCCTTCTTTGATTTCTAAATGCACGGCCATTCTTTGTTACACTTCTCCCTGAATATCTGCAGATACTTCTTCACTTTTGTCTGGTCTTTCTTCACCATTTTTCATCGAACAAGTGTACTGTGACATGTGTACAAAAACAACCGCGTTCCGGTGTCTCATGAAAACCGACTCCTATAAAAATTTGACTCCTTTTCCCTATTTATTGGTTGATCCCTTTCATGTGACCAGTAGCTCGCCCAATTATCACTACCATCTGGGTACAACTACTTGGTTACAACTACTATTCACTTTTACTATTCATATGTTAGACCTCTAGTTATTATTATTATTTTTTGAAATGCTCAGTATCTAGTGTATTTAATACTATGGCCATAGACTGAGTAAAGAAAGCATCGTAATATCAATCAAACAGACTTATAGATTTTGAAATAGTGAAAGTGTACAAAGTAATTGAAGATTTTGATAACAATAATTGATTGAAGAGTTTGATATTATAAATTGATTGAAGATTTAGATATTTGAAATTGATAAAAGAGTTCGATATTAGAAATGGAGTGAAGAGTCTGATATTAGAAATTGATTGAAGAGTTTGATTTTATAACAAGGTTGATATGCACATGTAATGGTATTAAAAAGGTTGATAATAAGTGATGATTATAGGGAAGAAACTGAGCAAACACAGACTAATTGAAAACAGTAATTATTCCTCGTAGATTTATTGAATTGCATTGGTTTCGCAAGCCCCCCCCCCCCCACAAAGTTATGGAAGTTTAAATCATTACTGATGTTGAGAAAACTCTTGTATGGTGAAAGCTAAGTAGTCGTAATTGGAATATTAATTCTCACCTTTATTGAGTTTTTTTTTAAATAGTGTAAATTGTATAATATCTGTTTTGAAAGAGTATGATTTGTGTCCTTGTTTTCCTTCATTTTGTTGTGTTTGTAGTATTTTACTTGAACTGGACTCATCACCTAGTTATCACAAGCTTTGTTAATATGAACTATGATTCTGTAATTCCAGAGGACCCTTGAAATCACTGTATGTGCAATTATAAACATATTTACCTGCAACAAATATTCTCTTTGACCAAGTGATCATATTTTGGGCAATTTTTACCAACCTGTTGTCCAACAGTAAATGCATGGTCAGAGAAGGCCATACTGAATTCTGCAGCCATCTTGTCAGTGTCATAAGCTTCGGCTGTATTACTGTTGAAAAAATGACAAAATTCAAAATACTTCATTTCCAGAAATGGTGGTCATTGTTATCTGAAAACTATTTCTGAAGTAATGTTAATGTCATAAAGATGCCATTTTTCTGGTTTAAGTAAACATATAAATTTTTGTAACTTCAACCCCCCCCCCCAACAGAAATGAGCAAATTTGAGTGATGACGACCAAGAGGTTACCACAGAGAGTCCCCTTTTCAAGTTTATGGTTGACAAAAACATGACCAACTTGCTGCGATCGCTTGCACTTGAGTTCTTTTTCTGGAGTACTTGGTACTCGTATTCATACTCGAATGTCAAAGTACTCGTACTCGTTATGACGGTACTCGTACTCAATCATCAAAGTACTCGTACTTGCACATGTCGAAATTGTACTCGATCATCAATGTACTCGTTCTCGAATAACAGTACTTGATAACAAAAAATATATCACTGTGTTTAAAACTACAACCTTATTTTATTGATACTTTCGGTTTCAAATGGTCGATTGCGGAGAAATCAAAATTTTTTCTACTCTACACATGTCCGGACAAACACAATTAACAGCTAACCCTGACTGGGTCTGAATATAGGTCTGACTGGGCCTGGGCCAATTATGCATAATGACCCATTTGTTGTTTGTGGGCACAATGGCCAATCATTGTACACACTCAGCTATGCTGAGAGGTTCCTCCAAATGGTTGTACGATTAATTTGGGTGATTGGAGCAAAGCCATTTTCTGAACCCCGGTTGCGATCCTATGATACGGGTCCAACCCCATTGCAAATCTGCGCAAATTGAGAAAAAGACACAGCCGAAGCCGAGGTTTAAAAAACGGCCTCTAGTCTGGTTACACCAGCAGGTCCACAGCGGCCTAGCCTTAAACAACGGCCTATGAATGGGTAGCAGACTAAATTCCTAGACATGAAGAAAACACGAATCTGCCAGGTTTTTTTTGCATGCACGTGTACTTGTGCTGTAGGTGTTTGCTTACGCTTGCCTATGTGGCACTTCTCACTTTTTTGCACCCAAATTGTATTACGTTGTTCGTGCAAAGAACGCCAAAATACATCTATCATGTCGTCTGTGTCCACCGTTGTGAAGTTTGGGTTCAAGGATCACATGGAATTTGTCCAAAATGGCGTGAAACGCCACAGTGCAGCGTGCATGTTTTGTGCTGTTCGCATATCAGAAATGTACGGGTATGGAACAACTTCGAACTTCATCAGGCATAATTATGCGGAAAAAACACTCTGTGATTGTGAAGTACTAAAAGTATCAATGCAATGCCAAATTCTTGGAACTCGACTTGTGCCAACTCGACCGTTATTTGAGGAATTATATTTTTGATTCAGTTTCTGAGGGTATTGTGAGTTTAGGACCCCTAGAGATGACCCCTTAGAAGACTAAGTACATGGTCATCAACCCATCTACCTCTGACGGCATCACCGCACTGGACGGCAGTAAGCTCTATAAAGTTGATGACTTCAAGTATCTGGGCTCCTACACCAACACAGCTCATGACGTCGAGTGTAGAAAAGCTCAAGCATGGTCTGCTCTGTTCTCACTGACAAAAGTCTGGAGATCCTCGATCTCAAAGACCACCAAACTTAACATCTTCAAGACCTCAGAAGAATCCATCCTCCTTTACGGTTGCGAGTCCTGGACCCTGAACAAACAGATCTCTGCATCCATTGATGGCACCTATACACAGATGCTGCGGGCAGTTCAAAACGTTTCTTGGCAACAACATCTCCCTAAAACTCTGTTCTGTATGGTGCCCTTCCCCCTATCTCCACAACCATCAGACTGCGTCGCCTTCGGCTAGTCGGTAACATTTATTGACATAATGAGCCAGCTAGTCAAGTTCTCTTCTGGAATCCTGAACCCCCTCGACGAAAAGGTCATCCCAACATGACCCTGAAAACATCCATCGAGCTAGAAACTGGTCTGAGTGGTCCATCTCTTTCCAACACTATGCTCGACAGGGACAGTTGGGCCAGTGCAAATCATCAAGTTATCATGAAAATGAATGAATGAAGAAGAAGAAGAAGGACCCCTCAGCAGCATTCCTATTTTAAACTCTGTTACAAAAATAGTTTTAACAACCCCATATTGCATTTGCGACTTTGTTTGAGCGATGTGATGCTTCTTTGCAGCGCAGTATAGGGCCTAGACCTATTTACAGTCAGTGACGGTTAACTAAAATGTCATTACAATACATGACTTTTGTTTTCAAAACACAGTTTGCCAATAGGGACCTATTTAACTTTTAGTAAAGAAATGCAAATTTTCTGACCTGCTTATACTTTTAATTGTACCACTCATACTATTTTAGCAGACCTTCCCTTAATTCACTGTTTTTAAAAGTACAATGTAAAGCCTTTTTTATGGCAGAAATAAAGAAATCTTTTCTCAGCCATTTGAATGATTGTTGTATTTCACTACTGAGGAATCCAAGGACCTGAAAAATACATGAATACTAATACAAATTAAATGCACAGCACTTTAGATTAATTTTATTTCCCTCCTATGGAAACATGCATTGTGAGCCTGGTTATTACTTGGGTCAATATTGGTCAAGACCCCCATTGGTTTGTACACAGTATGCCAGGAGGTGAGATACAAACATTTTGACCATTGGTGAGCTCTTAAATAGTAGGAGGGTGAAATGACAGTTGACCCAAACTTTCGTGTCTGTATCTCAGCTGTGTAGCATTTCCTCGGAAAATACATTTACATTGATATGAGACTGCTGTTGCCGATTTAAAAAACAAATTAATTTCAAATAATTGAAAAAGCTTACAAAGAGGAAACCTAATTTGTATCACAAGTGATTAACACTAACAGTACATATAACCGTAGGCTTCAAGCACAATGTACCTGAATACAAGTACTCGTACTCGGAATACAAGTACTCATACGTAAAAGTACTCTTACTTGTACTCAGACGTTGAAGTACTTGTACACAGAGACCCGTTCTTGTACTCGGCAGCACAAGAACTCGCACTCGTACTCATACTCGGCAAGCTAGGTACTCAGCAGGACTCAGTACTCGGGAAAAAAGTACTCGACTACAACACTAGGTGTCTCTTGGAGATGTGTTTGCATATCTTTTATTAAAAATACTGCAAGTGAAACTTGCGCAATCCCCCTGGCATGCTGGCAGTTGTTTTAAAGTCATTTAGTACGGATACATGTACTTGTCAGTGTCCCTAACTAAAATGGAAGATTTCTATTGTTTTAGCAATAGTGACCTTGATCTGTGACCTGTCGGCTACAAAAGCATTATGCTTGATAAGACTACCAAGAGCAACCCACAAACCAAATTTGAAGTTCCTAAGTAAAGTATTTCTCACGATTTTGTGCAGACAAATATTTCTATTGGTTTAGCAGTAGTGACCTTGACCTCTGACCTGTCAGCCCCAAAATCAATAGGCTTCTTAAGACTATCAAGAACAATCCCCAAACCAACTTTCAAGTTCTTAAGTAAAGTATATCTCAAGTTACCACGATGACATGATTTCTTTTGTTTTAGCAATAAATGAACAAACCACAAACAAACTTTCAAATTCCTAAGTAAAGTATTTCTCAAGTTATCGTACCGACAAGAGTTAAAACCAATTTGTTTAGGGTGTAAATCAAGGATTTTCTTTTGTTCCTCTTCCCTTTTCCTTTGTTTGTACTTTTATTGGTTTTGTACACCTTTTCCAACCGAGGAGTCCTCAATTCGGTTTCTGTCCTCGATTTATCGATGATGTTGCACGTGTATGTCCTCGATTTACACCACAAACAAACGCACAAGTGCATACACACAGAAGGAATACACTATTGCAATATCCCCCTCCGGCTTACAGCCAGGGGGATAAAAACTGCTCATATACCAGTTGTCGCACTACAAAAATGACAAAGGGGAGCTGATGTTTAAGGCCTGTCATCTGGAAAACGTTATTTCAGGTAGGGAAGAAATACATTTTTATTTCTTGTGAAGTTGACATCAGACAAAAAAAGGTAATTTAGCACTTTGACACAACTTTTTTGCCATCCTATTTTATCTGAATGGAGGTAAGGTATTGCAAAATGTTGTAAAGACAAGAATCTGGAAACGGGAAACAATTCCAATTTGGTGAGAAAACTGGATGCACTTGATTGAATTGCCATCATGTCCATAAACTCTTACACAATCAAAGAAGTTATGATACATGTAGCATCTAGATACTGCATTCTTACTCCTATGGTTTCCACATTTATTTATTAGCTGTTTCGGTGGTACACAGAAACAGCTCAAAAAGTTGCTGAAAAGCCTTCTTTTTGTTCTCATTTTTGGCTTTTCCGCATAGTTGCGGAAAAGCCTTTCTTTTTGTTAAGATTTGTCTTTCTTCTTCTTCTTTTTCTTCTTTTTGTCGCCAAAATCCAACAGACTTTGTATACGTTTTTTCTCAATGCCACTTTTGGCATTAGTCTTTGTTGTACATCATTCAAAGTCTGCATAGGCATAGTCCTTATAGCATTGTTGTGTCCCAAAGAGTGACGTCATCGTGACGTCATCATGGGTCAAGTTAAGTCATGTTAAAAATTAATAGATTTAATCTTTGAAAATCAGTATAAAATCAGCCATGAGAGACCCAAACTTGATGTTTGCGGGAATTGATAGAATAATCTAAGATCTTCATTTCATCTCTTGTGAGCAAAATCATGTGACCCTTGCTTCCGGTCCAAACCGGAAGTAATTCGAATTGTCCTATAATTTAAAATTGGAAAAAGGTGCGAACTTGCTTGCAACAATGTTAGTGTGTGGCTAGGTTGTACTTTACGAAGAAACTACTGGTGACGTTATAAAATGTTAGAGCGCCCTCTACAGGCAGGCAGGTTGAAAAAGTGTAAAATGAATTTTCAGTCGATATCTGTGGTGAAATTTGCGTTAATCACTTCAAAATTGGTGTGTATGCTGACCTCAATGCAGACAACACATGTGCGGGGGAAAAAGTGACGACATCATC